TAAGTCTACAACGTCATATCCTTTGGGCCTACTATACAGTGCTTCATCGTACAATTCTACATTCGGCTTGATTTATATACTAATATTTTGGATTACTGAGAACCATATGGGAAGTACTGCTCTTCAAGAAACTGGGGAAGAACTGCCTTTCAGAAACTCCTTGAAAGTAGTGAGCATGCTCAGAGTAGTAAAACACCATCTTACAAACGCACACTAAAAGATGTCAATGAGCGTCAGTTTCGAAACGAGTCGTTCCGCGAGCCCAAAGAATTCTTCGGCAAGACGAAGGATCAGACCTCTACAATCAGCTCTAGACTCACAGTGATAAGTTTATTTGTTCTAATAGCTATATTTTACGTATCAATAAATAGTTTTGTCAATTATATTTCCCCATTTACTGTGTTATTCATCGCAGTCTTGTTTTGTAAAATATGCTTCTTGACCTCAGAGGTCATTTTTTTAATTAAAAACGTGAAACGTTACACCGATATCTGATAATCAAATGCATTGCGCCATTTCGTCTGTGGTTGCATTAGTGATGATAGGACATGAGTTTAAAGAGCATTTAAAGCATTTATTTTGAATTTATTTGAAAGAATTGCCTTTGGAGATTCCCCTAAATAGTATAAGCTGGTCCATGTACAAAAAACGGGATAAGTATAGGTTAATAGGGTTCTTTCCTTTAAACATTGCATCAAAAATTGTAAATAATAAAGTGTTGTTTATATGACCTTTTTAAATCACACGAAATTTGCATATTTTGAATGAGCTACACGCTTTTACAGCGTGAAGTCGGGATAGCTATTTTTGAAAATTGAGAAAGACAGAATATCACTCCTGGATCGATATTTCTAGTGTTTTGATGTCGCATTGCGCCAAGCCACCAGAAAAGAATATCGTGGTGCGTGAATAAACAAACTAGATAAGGTATTCTACTCCATAATTTACTTTCATATATAATTATATGAGTGTCAGAATATTAYATGYTTTTTTAGATACGAATTTGAACTCTTTTGCTCTTCACGTATTCGAAAATCCAAGTAATTTTTCAATTTTCCAAAATAGCTAGCCCGACTTCACGCTCCAGGAGCATCTAGTATTTACAATTAGCATATCCTTGCTTCGCTTTGGTATCGCTAATCTTCTTGGCCTTTGGCATTCCTGGACATTATCAAACATTAGCTTCGGCCTAACCCAAATTTTCTACAAAAAAACTATATTTGTAGTAAAATCTTATGAGTTACAAGTTGATGTTTTTGAATTAAGTAAACTGACCGTACTACTACGGTTCTATAGCTGTCCTCGCATCTTTTATGCTAAAATGACGTAGTTTCTGATATGGTCTTATTATCTGGTATTACCCGGTATAATCCCATTACGGACTAAAAACAGTTTTTGACTCATTTCGCGAAACAAAATTTATGGTAAGTAGGGCATACGTTTTAAACTCCAAGTCAGATACCTGTCAACCAATTTTGATCAAATTTCGTAGCATTGTTTACAGATAGTTAAGCAACAGAATTGTGTCTGGGATTTTGATAAGTCGTCTTTTTTCAAAAGTTATTCAAGGTTCTTTAAAGAACTTGACATAATTTTGCGTTCCTAAACTTTATTACAACATTAAATCAAAACGACAGCACGTATAAAAAATCGAAGGCACAATTTTTGAGACAAATATGTGAACAAAAGAATAGCGCTTAAATTGAATTTTTTCCGATAATTCTTTCAGACTTGGAGTTCGTTTTATACAGGCATGTAGTTTCAGATAAAGGAGCTAATAACTCTAAAACATAATTTGAAATGCATTTCAAACACTTATAGGCATAAACTACAGTGTCTAAGCTTTCAGAAAATATATACTTTGTGAGCATTTGCAAAACAACAAGAAAGTTATAGTCGATGACGCGATTAGGGGTCGCGTGGGTACGCTGATACCTTAATATGTGTTTGTCCCATGTTTGTGGTAAGTTAAAAGAATGTACAAGCGTCTGTACAAGGCATAATAATGAAAATTTTGTACAAGAACATGGTCAAATTAAATTTCTTGGGTTGAGGTTTCCTACAGTAGCAAAATTTTGACCTTGAACAACTTTTTACGCGTGCATCACCTCTCTCATAGTCAAGGTCAACTTCACCTTTGAAATATTCTTGACAGTTTTGAAGTTGAAAAAGTCAATCCCTTTAATTGCATTTTTGCAACATTTTATGACGTCAAACAGTGGATTGTTCCTTAGAATTGCAAAACATGAGTGTGATTCATATCGCTGATGTGATTAGGATGTCTTTTAATTAAGAGACTGCCGTARGGTGTGTTTGTGTTTTGTGTGTTTCTCACAATTGCTTGAAAAATCCAATCTTTTCGTAAGGTTTTAGCATTCAGGCTTGCTTTTTTTCGCAATACTACTAAACCCTATTAAGATTTTTTACTTGTTTTGAGGATACTTTTCATGTTTTTTTTTTTAGATTTTGCCTATATTTTGACTTTCAATCAACTCCAACAGAGCTCTTCATAGCTCAAAGGCCAGTTACAAATGAAAGACATTTTTGACTTTTGACCCAGAATCATTTGCGCACTGTGCGCAACATTGACTAACTTTAACCCATGGATAATTAACTTTATCCACCCTTTGTACAACTGGATCCAGATTGTTACAAAATACATGTAACTGACTAAATAAAATACAAAGAAAATGGGCAAAGCATTCTCTGGGTGGCATGACACCATCAGCCGAATGATCTCCAATTGAATGTTGTTTATGGTATTCCTCATCTCAGGTCTACATGTACTTTCTGTTCTTCATCCTTTATTCCCTTTAATCTGTATTTGTTCTCTTACACCTAATACATTGTCAACCTTATTTGAATATTTCATCATTCTACAATTCCAAACATCAATGTATTGTTACTTTTTTAGCAACTCCCTTCACTAGTGATAATCCTATACACTGTACTGTGTCTTGTTGGCATTGTACCAATCATCCAGCTGCCTCAGATGGTTTCAGGGATTCTCTTTGCATGGGTTTATCTAAGATTCTACCAACCTAGAGCTAGAGGAGCCAGAGGAGATCTTAGTGAAGAGTTCTCTTGCGCATCATTCTTCCCACATCAATTACAGTAAGTCAAGTACTTAGTACTTGTTGCTTTCTTACCTTGTGGTCCTCACTATTTATTATTATAAAATTTTTGATATATAATGCACGCTCTGATTGGCTTACTATCGTATTTATATCAAAGAACAGAGACACGGCTTACCGGCAAAATTTTCTTTTTGCTCGAAAAATTTTATAAAAGAAATATAAAACTGCTGCTTGTGTCTCTGTCTTCTGATATAAACCCGGTGGGAGTTGAAATACACTCGAGAAGCAAGAGAAACACTCGCTACGCTCGTGTTTCTAAGCTTGCTTCTCTCGTGTTTTTTCAAACTCCCACCATGTTTATATCAGAGGACAGAGACATGCACGCTGTTTTATATCTCTTAAATAAATTTATTTGTCAGTTTTATTTTATTTTTTTTTTTGATTTTTTTCTCTTGGGGAGAAGGGGGGGATTATACTACCTGACAATCATTCATATAATACATTACGTAGCTCAGAAATATAAGACTTAGGTTTACTCTTCAGTTGCCTAGCATCCAAGTACTCATTCAATCTGTAACTTTATTTTGTTTCAAAAATTTAGATTGTTCTAGTTGTAAAAATTCTGCATCTCCAGATTGATTTGAAATTTTAGACACTGTAATTAATGGTTATGAGCTGAAAATAAAAGAATCTCTTTTTATCAATCATTTTAACATGAACTTAATACTCAGGTCAAACACCACTAATACCACTATCCACTTGTAATCTCGAGTCTGTATAACGTGCGGGCTGCAGTTCGCAGGTCGCAATTTGCGGGCTGCGGGTAAAAATATGCGGGCTACTGACACAATTTGCGGGCAACAGACACAATTTGCGGGCAACAGACACAATTTGCGGGCAACAGACACAATTTGCGGGCAACAGACACAATGTGCGGGCAACAGGCACAATTTTTTTTCAAAAGAACATCCTCTCTACCGCTCTCTAAAGTACAACTTTGAGCGAAGGGAGTATACGAAGAAAGTATACGAAGTTATTTCAACATTCACCGATTTTTAAAAGATTCTCAGCACTTTTTGCCTGTTTGCTCCCATCAATTATTTCACAGTCCAATGAATAAAGCTCCAAACAAATACCAAAGTAGCTAGTAATCACTGAGCTGAAACAATTTTCAAATTATTATTATTTTAAGGTGGCTCAATACAAGATACAAAAACTGTGGCACACAACATTTCTGCTCAAGTTTAGGTTCGATGTTTCTCTTTTTTCGTCGCGCGCGATAAACTTGGTACACGACTTTCTTTGAATATAATGGCTAGCATGCACAACAAAAAAATACAGTCGATTCTCTACATACGGACGCTCCCATAAGCGTACAGTTCTACTTTTACGGACAGCTTTTCAAAACCTGTTTTCCCTCTCATACAAATGATGGGACCGTTAATGAGTAAATTAAGAACTTTCTAGATCACTTTTTCATATATTGACAAAAAAGAATAAAAACTTTCTAGATCACTTTTTCATAAAAAAGAATAAATTATGAAAAACATCTTATATTTAGTAACCATGGTAGCTACACTCTAAGGNCTACAGTAGAGAAAACAAAGCTCTTTCAACGTGACTTTGTTATGTTTATTGAATACATTATATTGTAATACATACAGTACTGTATTTGTAAAATAAATCGCTTGCGGTTAGTGCATCCGCTTACGGGAGATTCGACTGTACTCACCAAATTGAGCCAGGAGATCAGTACCATCGAGGAGATGTCCTAACCCTAATCGACGATCACAAACTCACAAAGTCACAACCTCGTTCGCAAATATTAGCCCACAGCCCGCAATATTTAGCCCGCAGCCCGCAATATTTAGCCCGCAAACCGCAGCCCGCAGATTAGCAGGACCGTGTAATGTCATCTCTTATTTTAGTTCACTTTTGACCGTTGTAATTTAATCATATTCTCTATAACTACTATATAACTGATTGTAAAATGTAATCGCATTCAAACTGAAGATGGATTTATGAAAGTCGAAACATGTCTTTTAAATTTAAAAGTGTTGTGTTATTTTTAAAAATTATTGCATCACTTGTGCTTTTACGCTCACTTGGTAGGGCAGATAGCTTTAGTGTATGTCTTGTATAGTAATGTGTGTGGATGTTAGCATTGTAAATGGTATGTGCATTTGAAAAAAAAAGTAAAAAAAAGAGTAACATAAAAAGTTATTATACCAATTGAAAAGTGGTTAAATTTTGAGCTTCTATAATGATTGGATTTCAAGCATTGATTTAATTAAGGGCTGTGACCTTGAGCGATTTAAAGTATAAAAAAAGGTTATCCAGCTCAGCTAGAAACAATGGATTGCAGTTTCAGCCTATAAAGCTAGTAAACTTACTCCGTCGAAAATACTAGTAGAAATAGAAATGACTGTGGCGTAGATATTTGACCACATACAAATTTTATTAAATGCATCACTTTTGCCTAAATTTATCAAGATTTGTTTGTAAAAATGATTTTTGGAGTGGCAGCGCTGAGTTTGGAATGGAATATCAGAACACCATGTCGCAGTCCCCTCTCTACCATGGATATTTAACCATGATAAAAAAAAAATTACTGCTACATGCAAAAAATTGAAAAATGTAAATTGTTATTGCAGCAATTCTGGTGAGTTGGGCTTGAGTTTTAAGTCAAAAATGTTAAAAACTTTGATAAATCTAGTCAATGCATGTAAGTATAATAAAAATACAGTCTGTAATAAGAGGTATAATAGTTTAAGCAACCCCTCCCCACTAACGACTCATTGTACATGTAGTGCATGGCTGAACCCTTTGACCATTTTACAATTAATCATATTTCAGATCTCCTGTCCGTTTGGTGTCAAATGTGGTTTTTAACTTTATGGTCAAAATTGGTGCATGTAGCAAACCTGTAAGAACATATGATGTTGGTGCTCCATCAGCCATTACTATTAGCCTTCCTGGTATGGATCCTGCTGATGCAGAAAGAAGAAGGTAGTTATTACTACTGCATGATAGAGTTAGCTTTCCTTGTCACTTAAACAACGGAAGTGCAACTTGGTCTCAAATCAAATGGTGAATTGGGGGTGGTGAGGGGGGCGATTAATCAAGAAAAAAATATTGAATGGATACATTTAGGGGTTTCAGATCAACACTGATTAACATAAGTGTTTTTTTTTTTAAATGAGTCCCATTCAGAATGAATTTCTTATTTTATTCATACATATTATTATTTCTAGCAAAATATATTATTATTTTATCTGTCTTATGTGCCTTTTGGCATAAGGAGTCTAGATAGATGATGATGATTAATATTTCTAATTCTATATATCTGAAATTCCAAAAGGTGTATTGCACTATGATTAATGATTACCTTGGTCATCTTGGGAAATTTTTCTCAAAATTTATAATTGAATACTAGCAGTTCTTTCCTATAGAAATACCAGGCAATATTGGTGAGGTTTCTCATTGGGAAGGTGGGAGAGGTATGGGTTTAGGTAACTGATCGAAACCTGTCTATTTTCAGGCAACGAGCTTTAAAAGCATTAAATGAACGACTACAAAAACTTGATCAGGCTCAAAGCAGCTGGCCATCACTAGATGACCAACAAGACACTGAAGATCCAACTGATTTAACAATGGAAGAAGTACCAACTGTAATAATCGACAACAACGCTCAAGCTCTTAATCCTGAAGGACAAAGCAGTAAAGCCACGATCCCAACTTAGCTTTTTAAGTTAATATTACTACCGGTCGGTTTATGATGGCCATTCTCTCAGCCAGTCATGAAATCAGGGCATTTTTACAGCTGGGACCAAGAAAAATCATCTGTTCACAACTGCGGAGATTCAATATACTCAAAACGCCGTCATTGCTAGTGAAGTGCAAGTAGTGGGCTAGCGCAATGGTGTAATAGGCTATTGCCCTTGTTAAAGATTGCATTCTACATGTAAATGCAACTGTATTAAGATGAAGTAACTTTGAAGAAAGATAAACATTTGTGTAGGTCAATTTCAAGAGAACGTTGGTGATAGATAAGGGTTTTCTATATAAATATTTTAATTTGAATAGAGAAAATCATATGCAGTCAGTCCATAAGTTTGTGCAGTTGTAAAGATGATACAGTATATATTAATTCAGTGGCAGAGGGAGAGGGGCATTGGGTCGGTGCATGGGCACCCCCTAGTACCCCAACACATGCACACTGCCCGGTGCCTCTAGTGCACATCCAGGGTTTTTTATATATTATGACATCATACATTAATGACGCATCCCTTGGGAAACACTCTGGACAATGTTGTTGTCATCCTTGTCTCTATATCTGCACAATGTTGATTGCATTGGCTGTATGTGATGAAACCAATGTAATGCATACAAAGTTTAAAATAAGGTTGTCATTATTAACACCCATTTTGTACAACAAACTATAATGGGTGTTCAGTCCACGCAGGTTTTGACTGCTAAGGAAGTTCTCCCTGGGAAACCGTTGTTGCTTTTTCTTTACAAGAATGCAAGTAGTTGTAGAGAGTTTTTCGGGTGCTTTAAAAAGTGAGAGGGCTACAGCTGTTATGATGCTTTATTGTGCTAAATAATTATCAATAATTTGATATGTACATGCAATATGATATGGTCCCAAATAAATCCTATATAAAGTATAAAAATATTATAGTACTTTGAATAAAGCCTTAAGTGCCCGAATATCTCTTGAATGTATGTCACGATGTAAAGATTCTTCATGAAAGCTATAAGTATATAGTTTAGGCTCGAATCTTTATACCTGATAAAACACTATCTCGAGTGTTTTAAACGGCTTAAAAAACTCCAACACTAATTTGAAACTCAAATCCGTTAAAATTCTTGGAGAAATTGC